AAACATTGTAGACATTAGGATTTTTTCAAAAGACGGAAAGATGAAAAATTAACAACTGTCTTCGCCGGGAATCTAACCATGGACCTCTGGATACCAGCCTAGCGTGCTACCGTTACACTACGAAGGCATGCTAGGAAAGTGGGAGAAATACCTTATAACATATCTAAATGTTTCATGATTATTCTGTGAATCTCGAATTTTTCAGAAACTTATTTTAGAGATTAATTATATTACACAAAAACCAGCAGCTTAAACTTATTGCATAATTCTGAATTCAAATCATTAATTTATAGAAAATGTAAATTTTAAACATTAAAACCAAATATTATAATTATTTATGTAATAGCTGTAATAATTACACCAACATTATGATCATCTGTAATTTTATTAGTTAAAACATTTTAATTAGAAAAGACAGAACATGCTGCTGTATTTTGCTACAGAAATAAATTTTGCCATCTGCATGACTTCTAAATATGAGCAGAACACAAATGCATTTTAAAATAAAATTTTTATTCTGAAGTTAGACTGTTTTTCAGTGTATTACTAAACTCCTGAAAATTTATGGAATCAGATTGAAAAAGTAACTGACAAAGCTTGAAATATTACCTATTTATCATTTTGATTAGTCTGAATCTACGAATTATGAATATTTCATAAGAATATTTTATCATATTTCATTTAATGCTACAAACGAATCTAAATGATTCATGATTAGTTTGTGAATCTCCAATTTTTCAAAAACTTATTTTAGAAATGAATTATATTATACAAAACCAGCAGCTTAACTTTATTGTATAATTCTGAATTGAAAACATTAATTTAATGAAAATGTAAATTTTATGTTCCCGCTGAGGTTAAAAACAATACCGGTTACCTGTGTTTAAGATTCTTCTTAAGTCAAAGGTAAGAAAATATATTAAGCATATTAAAACCTCAGTCACATAAACATGCATATGTTATTGTATTTTAAAATTCTGTGATTGCAAAACAATACTTGAAACACCTGGAAAGAAGGTTAATGCTTTATGAATTCAGAGTTTTTTTACTTTTAAGCTTATTATTTTCGAGTGACATTTAGCTCATCATTTGTTAAAAGGCTGGCAACAAGTGCCTCCAAAAGTCTTTAAGAATTTGAAAACTTTACACATGGCTAATTATAATACATCAATTTATATTTAAGAAAATACACTCTTGAAAGAATCATAAATTTTAGTTTGAAAGGAAAATATATGACAAACCTGTGCTAAATCCTGAATATTTATGGATGTCAGTTAACGAAAATTTTAGCCTACTTTGCAGTTTGTATTTTACTACTGTCAAATGAATATAATAAACATACCAGCTCACTAGAAAATAAAAAAGGATGCATATAGGAAACAAACTTAATACTTTATTTCAAGTAGTTCCATTTGTTTAAGAAATTTAACTTAACAATGAAATGACACAATACAGAATAGATAATTCAGAGTGAAGTAAACAAAAAATATAGCTTTTATTGCATGAACAGGTATGTTTTTTGTACAGTCCTTTGAAAGGAAAAAGTGGCCTCCAGACAATAGTTACTTTCAGCAAAACAGTTGTCATTAAATATTATATATACATATGAAAATTCTCATACAGAATAAAACTAACCATTTTTTTTTCTATATTTAGAAGCTTGGATAGGTATTACTGCACATACTAACTGTTTTAAACTTTCACCCCAGTTTAGAATTCCGAGGGAGAACACCCCAGTTCCGAGGTTCAAAGGTCTCCCACCTTTCTTACCCTACCACCAACCAGAGAGGATTTTAGCTTTCTGTGTACATTAAGTGCCCTCTTGATGCATATATAAGCTTGTATCAGACACTATACACTTAAAAATCCATGTCTTCTCAAAGATTCAAACCCAGGCTCTAGGATATGGCTGTCAGCTTCCTTTAGAAAAAATAAAACTGCATCCTTTAGAAATAATAAAAACAAACTCACTTATATTTAGAACATTTAACAATTATTTGGTGCTTAAGACATATCAGAAATTTTTCAAAATTTTACTGTGCAAGTTCTAAGATTAAGTTTTGAATGACCACGTATAAGCATAACTGACAGACTTCTGCATGTTTCCATCAGTTATGCAAGGACAACTCAAATTTTACCACAAAGATGCAATAAGCAGGAATTGAGCTTATCAAATGCTACAACTGATGGCAAAATTACTCCAGCATATGATATAGAAATCTCTAATAAGCTATTATAACTTTCAACATTTTATAAACCAGATATACCTTTATACCAAAGAAAGCAATGGCTAATCATATTTATGTACTAAAATTAGATATTAATATTTGAAGATAAACATGGTTGTCATCTGCTTTTTTGTTACTTTTCCTTAAAATCTACAAAATGCTAAACATTATTATGAGTTCCAAGCTTTCCTAGTCAGTGATCTCTTAGGATTGTGAATATGCTCATCCTGATTTTATGAACTCGTGAATTTGTCCTAAATCAAGTAAGATATCAAAATTATACTTATATTTCTGATAGACTGCATTAGTGAACTAACTGAGTAAAATGATGCTGAATGGAATGAATTCCTTTACTCATAGTTATAATGATGTTACAAATACCAATAATGTAATAATCTTAATAATACCAATAATGTTAGCTTTCCAAACCACCTCAATATTTGTGGATGAAACTAGACTAGGTATAAACATGACCATGAATTGCTACACAGAGATTTGGGATTTATTAACTCAATTTATTTAATACGGAAGGCCAAAAGTTAATGTATTTTAGGTCAAACTGCATACAAAGATTTCCAACACACATTGCTTAGAATGGCATGAAAGAAAATGAACAAGTGAATGCACTTAAGAAGTGGACTTTGTGTAAACTACAGATAGACTGTATTATTCCCTTATTCCAGAAAAATAAATCAATACTTCAATGACATTGGAAGATACATAAATTTATCAATGTACTAATTCCAAAATAAAGGATTAAGCTCCTTGCCTGAATCACTGGACTTCAGCAGATCTTTTATAATGGACACCTATAATGAATTCATGTTTATACAATTCCTCCTATAAAAGGCTGCTGAAATGAAAAAGTACGGCCAAAATATCCTACATTGGCACGACATAAAAATTTAGGATATAGAATACGAGATTAAAAAATCAAATGTTTTGACATATGCATTTTTTAAATATCCTTGCATATATTACAACAATAAATTCCTTTACACATATGACTTTATAATGTTGCAGTTTCATTATTCAATTTAATATTTTAACATAAAAAATTAATTTCATAATGTATATAAAAATGAATGAAGATAAAAAGTGTTTTCAATAAATTTGAATTTATGCTTTATTTCATCTGTTTACATAACAGAATTACAAGGTTCACTACCAGATCAAAAATGCAGCATGTGCTAAAAATATAAAATTTCTAAAAGTAAACACACTATTAATTTACAAATATATAAAATTATCACAATATTTTAAAAAGTCACAAATTTTACACAATTATATATTACTTCTTTATATGGCAATGCAGAGTGTACTTAGCAGTTTGTGTGACAAATAATTCCGTACATTTAAAAGAAACTTATTTTACAATATTTATAAATATTTTTTTTTTTTTTCAAATTCCCAATTACACCTCCAGCTATCCTCCTTACATGCATATACATATATACACGTATATACAATGGAGCATCAACCTGGATGAGATTCGACCTCATCATTTAAAATTCGTACCTTTGATATTTCAATCAAAAATTATTACAAAACAAAATATATTAAACATGCTTATTCTTATGACATGCATCTTGTTTTCATACATTAGTTATTTAACTCAGTTCTTTATCAGCTTACAAAGATTAATTGCGGGACTAAAATTCAAGGGAATAATTTTTTTTTAATCACATACAAGTTCCAAAATATCACACGAATACTTTTCTCACTGATTAGTATCAACAATTTTTCTAATTTTTATGATATGGAGAGAAACATTATAAAAGATTCCAATTTTAACTTTTTATAAACTGAATCTTTGCCTATGACAGAAAATATAATCTAAGTGGGGGGGGGACTTTTCAAATACACATATTTATGAGAAAAATATATTTAATAAATGGAAAGATTACTTGAAGAAAATGGAAAGAATACAGAACATACACAAATTACAAATACAGAAACAAATGACATGAATTGCCCTGACAGGTATAGCAATTAGTGATGCAGGGTGCCATATTGTTGGGTCCAAATTCAAATCCTGGAGAAGGCTTAGGCGTTTGTAAAATATAGCATCTTTGTAGCATGTGGGTTCTTAAAATACAGAGAGGCAAAAGTTTCTGAAGTGGTATGGCGGTAAGGGAAGAAGGGTTGAGACATCTTTGAACCTATTGCTGATGACATTCTCATTCAAAGCTGAGATAGAACTGGGCTAATAATGAATGCGATTCTGTGCCCCTTGCCATGATGAAATTCATAGATTTGTCTGATGTTACTTAAGTCACAATGACAACATAACTGACATGATACCTGAGGTCCCATTGTGTGAAAACACATATGTTGAAATATCAGTTTTCCAAGTATAATTCACATTAGAATTATAAGTCATCCTGTTCAATATAGCAATTAGTGATGCTAGCAGCTACATTGATGGGTATGGCTTTAAATCCCAAAGAAAACTTATATGGTTGTAAATGTATGGTATCTTTGTGGAATACGGGCATTTAAAATACACAGTGAGCTGAATGTCCCCTCAAGTGGTCTGGTGGTAAGGGAAGAGAGATAAGACACTTTTGGACCCATCCCATGGTAGATTCTCCTTCAAACTTGGGATGAAACTGAGCAAAAATTTACAGTCATCTATATGGTGACAAAGGCCTATGCTAACAATGAAATAAATCATGTATGCTTTGTCACGATAAAATTTACGGACTTGTTCAAATGTTACTGTCAGACAAGTGACAGAAGTCACAACAAAACTGAAATGATGCCTGAGGTCCTACTGTGTATGTAACCATATATGCCAATTTCACCACATAAGTCATAGAATTAAGAGCTCAGTTTGAGAAGAAAAACAGCAAAATATACATTCAGAGTTATCCTAATAAATTTTTTCCAATAACAACAATTAACAGAATGGTACCAAGAGGAGAAACAGTGATTTCAATTTTTTTTAAATCTATCAACCGTGTTGATTACAAGTTTTAAAAATAATCGGTAAATAACAAATCAAATTATAAAAGACCTCAGATTTTATTTAGATTTTAAGACAACATATTTTAAGAAATTGTTTGAACTTACTTTCTAGTAAAATGCAATACAGATATCCCTGTTAATAAGTTGTGAATAATGTGCTCATTTAAATTAATACCATTAATATAATTAAATTTTCAAAATATGCAGAGTAAAAATCACACTGAAAACATATTTGTGAAGCAGAAACTGTTATGCAATTTGCATGTACAAAATCTGCATTAAAAAACTGAACAGATAAAGCTCCACTCATTACATAGTACTATATTAAGATTTACAAAACTAATTTTGAATTAAAAATGGAAATTAAGCTGTGACCAAATATATCACATTATGAATATCTTGGCTTTATGAATGTGGCCAATGTTTATGACAGAATTTCTAAGGAAGAAACAAAATACCATTTATGATTTATTGCAATGTTTTTAACTAAATTCCATTTAAATTTGCATAAATATATATTACAATTTGCAAAATTTCAAGCACAGAGTTCTTATGTTTCTTGTATTCTTATGTTTGTAAGTACAATACAAATGTTTGATTTCATTCACCATGTTTTTCATTTATTTTATATTTATTGCAAATATTTTGCAGAAAATTTTATCTGAGCATATCTCAGTCTCTGTAGTCCATAAGGAAAATTGTAGAATTCTTCCAAAAAGGTGCAAATTGTTATGATACTATGAAGAAAACATATACAGTATTTGCACCCAGAAGACATCACAATGCGAGATGGAAATGTTGCGAATATATGAATGTCATAATAAAAAGTATGGCATATGATCGAAAGTGCTACAGCACTCCTTGATTTTGTACACAAGCCAGACATTTGGAGTCACTCAGGGAAAGTATTGAACATTGACAAATCTTCAAATGAAGATGCTCCTCCTTGATCAAGCATCTGTAGCATATCAGTCAATTCCTGCTGTTGAGGTTGACTGCTACTGCCTCCATGTGTCTGTGGGTGACTGCCAGCAGCTGTGGATGAAGGAGGTCCATCAGGTGTACCCGGACCTTGCCATTGGCCCCATATTCCTAATACAAATATATACATATATATATATATATATATATAAACAAATTATATATTAAACAAAAATATAAATTATATTAGTAAAAAGTATCAGCAAACCAAAAATAAAACATAAATCATTCGAAAGTTAGAATATTTTATTTCTATAACAATTACAGATGGTGGTGATGATAGAGACAGTTTGCTTGTACAGTGACAACTTGGAGGGATGTCATCAGAGAACATGAATTTGATGGATAGTCCAGTTAGGTGAGGAGACCTACACCTCCACTGGAATGCTCACCTGCATCTTTCCTGACTAAAGAAAACTTCTGAAGTTTTGCTTGTTATTCTCATTTCAGGTTTTTTCTTGTACTGCCAAGCACACAGGACAATAAGCATTGATCACATCTTTGATGTCAACCATATACCGGTGGAAGCCACAACAGTTCCACGAGGTAAGGGTGGTCATTATGTTTGATATTTGTTCTTCCTGTGCTGCATTTTAGTTTTGTGTGGAAGCAGATGTTTGGGAACTTCTAGCCCCCTTTTACTTTCTTACTATCTGAATTTAAAGATTCAGCGACCATCTTTTTTTTTCGGGGGGGGGGGGTATCAGGTGAGTTGGATTTACGTTTTTCTTGATGCTCATAATCTGCTAGATTTGGGTTGGTGATGTTTGCATACTAATTAAAGTTTGGGTGATGACTGCATGGCTTGATTTAAGAACACTGGTGAAAGACATATTTGGTCAAAGCTGTGTGCTTTGAACTAGCCTTCTGATTTTGTGCATGAGCGAGATATTGCTGGATAATCACCTTGCAATTTATATACAATGTTGCAACGATGCAATTATTACAATCATGGCTGATCTTTGAGCATTGGGTGCATGCGAAGCTGCCATGACAGGACATCTTAGAATGGCTAAAAGGCTGGCATTGAAAGCATTGCATAGGGATTGGAATATAAGGTATTACAGGACAATTTAGGTATCCAGCCTTAATATTCTTAGGAAGATCAGGTGGTCAGGATCATGCATTTTGTGTTGATCAACTGATCTTTTTACACATCTTAATCTGCTTAACACTGCAGCCAATTTGAACAGAAAGCTCGGATATGATCTCTTCTTCAGAAACAAACAGAAGTTTGATTTCTGAAATTACATAGGGAAGATAAAAGAGGAAGAAAGCATGAAAGCATTGCATAGGATTTGGAATATAAGGTATTACAGGACAATTTAGGTATTCACCCTTAATATTCTTAGGCAGATCAGGTGTCAAGATCATGCATTTTGTGTTTATCAACTGATCTTCCTTACGCATCTTAATCTGCTTAGCATTGCAGACATTTTAATCAGAAAGTTCTACAATCGCTTCTGCAGAAACAAACAGAAGTTTGACATCTGAAAATACACTTCAGCAATAATTCAGTGATTTGCATGCTGTTAGAGTGATAGTGGTTTCTCCAAGATTGGTTATTTGAAGTAGGGAAGCAGACTGTGGCCCAAGTTGTACCAATGAGCAAGTCTCAAGAATGGAGACATTTTATATTTCTTGGCTCACAAATACAAGAACAAATCTACTTACTTTTTTATGAAAAGGAGACATCTTTTGCAGTTCACCTAGGAACAACAAGAAAGCATAGACTATTGTTAGGATTATTCGTATCTGCATCGATACATACTTTTAACACAAGACTTCAGAAGAATCGGCCCTTAGAATTATGTGACTAGATTCTGGTTCTTTAATTAAATACATATTTGGAGTTGCCATTATGGAAAAAGAAAATTTTTGGGTTCAACTATGCCACCCACCACAGAGCCCAATAAGAGAACACAGATTCCTGCGTTAGGTCTAGGCAGACATATACACAGACTGAAGCCCCACAGTCATCTTTCCCAAAAGCTTACCGACAGTCGGGTCAGGAGACCAGCTAATTGACAATGGTGACAACTAAGTGCCTCCCATTTAGCCAGCTAGGGGTAGAGGAGATAAAAACAAAGATAGATCACTAGGGTTCTAGGATGGGATACCGGTGTTACCAAGATGATCCCCTAAAGGGCTGGGTACTTCAGGATTGCCACACCTGTACTCACAAAAAGTGAGCCTCGAGGGCTAGAGATGGAGAATTTAATTACCTGCCACAGCTAAAAGTTTCAACAGAATATTTTTAATAAAATGATATTAAGAATTTTGCAAAATACCTGAATATGCATGCACATACTTTCTTGTTTTTAAAATCTTGTTATTCTCATACTTGAGGGACAACAAAGCAATCAAGAACTTTTAAATGGCATATGTCAACCTACTTGAAAACATTATACTGGTAATAACATATGATAAAGAAATTGCTTTTGGAAAGGGATGAGAGTAAGGTGGATAGCAAAATATTCTAATTCATAAGTGTTTCCCAGTTGAAAAAGGTTATGAGAAATACTGCCTTAAATGGGTCTCTGCACTCCTAAAATTGTTATTTAGACGTACTTTTAAAAAGCAAATACAGAGCTTGCATTCTGTTAAAAGGCAAATATAGACAGTTATTAATAGCTTTCACACCCAACAGTAATCGCTCTCTCTGGTAATTCCTTGCAGGAGTGGTGGGATGAAGAAACTTAACACTTTTGAAATACTCAAAGAAAGAAAACATTCACCTCTTTAAGAAACAATCTAGCATCTACTATAACCCTGAGTGGGTTAACAAGCAATTTAATAATATATTTAGCTTTCAGGATTAGTAATTAAACTGAATATTAATCTAATTACTAAAAGGATCTCAAATAAATTAATGCATTAAATGAAAAAATTTCACAATTTTGGAAAATGCTAAAAATGTCACTTTAATTAAAAAAACTCATCAGGAAACAAATACCATTTGATGAGAAAGAGAAGACATATGCAAATGAAGAAAGCATATACCTCTGGGGCCAGGAGCAGATCCAAGTTGTGTATATGTAGGACCAGATGGACTTCTAGCAGGGGAATTCATTTGATTATAATTTTGACCAAATGCTTCTGAATTGGCCTAAAAAAATTCAATTAACAATTCATAATTATGAGCACGATAAAACAATTAACAAACATATTCTTAAACTGATAATTATACGGTATGAATATAGTGAAAATATGCATTAGCAAATAAAAATTAGAAAATTTTTGTAAAGAGAATGAAAGATTATATATCATATAAAACAAATAATCAGCTCAAAATATGTTAACCCTTTTGGGACTGGTATGTCATATAAGTGTTGGCCGACAAATGTATCACAGTGTTAGGTGTGTCATATAATAATTGCCATTTAAATGGACTGCTAGAATGGGTTCACTATATAGGAATTTTTATATAGAACATTTAATTAGTATCTTTTTTCCTGCCACTAGATGTAGCTTAATGTCTGTTATGGTGGAATTTATTGAGACTGGAGAATGCTGACCTTCACTCCATTGGAACTTTCTGGTATTTGATTTGAGAATCAAACAGGAAATCATGGGTTGAATTATGTAAATAAACAGAGCTGTCTATAAACTGCATCAGCTGATATAAACACACGGAATGGTCTTAATACTTCTCAGCACTGTTTCTACTTTTGGAGATATGAGGAAATATGTCCTATTGTTTTAGAAGTTTTATTCATTTCATCTTAGAGTATGGTTAGCTTTGAGGCAAATATTTTGTGTATCATTTAGCAAAGTACTTTTTTATGCTTCAAATGGCAAAGAAAATATAATGATAAAGTTTTCGAATTAATTTTGACAAACACCAGAGTGTTCCTCACATATAATGTGCCGAAAATAGGAATAATTAGACCAAAAATTTAATTTATGTGAATGTTTCTGAAAAATTAGGATTACCAGTGCAAACTGCCCATCCCAACAAGATAGTGCATTCTGTCAGTATGCTGTTCCAATACAGTGTTTTGATGACTGAGGTGCCCATCATAAGGTTTCACATAGCCTAATTTCTTTCCCATTCCCTCTATGTAAGTAAGGCAGTTTTTTATATGATTAAAAAGAACTGAAATATTTATCTCTTAGGTACTGCATAAATTCGTAAGTGTGGCTGGGGGTGTGAGGGCGGGTTGGTTAAATGATGACAAGGTTAAATGATAAAAATATAAAAAGAGTAATTTTTTAAACTACTTGACTTGGTCACAGAACTCAATGTACAGAATAATAAATATGACATTCTAATGCAACTTCACCTAAAAATATATGGGTCATTAAAGAATAATAATACAGAATTTTAACCCATCAAAACTGCAATGCATAAGTACAGATGTTCCATCAAAGTAATGGCAGAATAAGTCTCTATCTTTATAACATTATTTCAAATCTGAGTAAAATGTTATACTATGCCATAATTTTTATTTGTATACACAATTGTATAGTATACTAAGCATCATGGCAAACAGGACTTTTCTCAGTCAGGATCAGTAACTGAACATGAAATTCTTTAAAAGAGGAAAAAGAATAAATAATTTAATAATAGTGAATAAAATAAATAATACACTAAGTAACGTAAAAATCTCAATATGCAATTCTTTAAAAGGGAAAAACTGAGAATAAATAATTTAATAATAATGAATAAAATAAATAATACACTAAGTAACATAAGAAATCTAATTTCTGAATAAGAGATAAATATACACGATGATTTTTATCCTACTCTTATATAAGCATATGCTCACTTACGATATTCTAAGTATGAAAGATTCTTTCAAATGTCCAGGATAAATATTAACTAAACCTAAAGAACAGAAATGGAAAATACCAGAAAAACTAAATACTGACTCCTCAGAAGTCACCAGAACTTTGACCACAAGAAAACATGCAACAGACCTTTCCCTCAAAAATGATTCAGAATGATGACTTACTTGTGCGAGATGTCGCTGCACCCAAACTGCTTGTGGTGATGATGATGATGATGTGGTGGCAGATGGCTTAGTAATGCGAGTCAGCACGCCTCCACTTGCACTGACTACAGCTGATGGGGGTGTTTGTGACATAGAGGCTCCTAAACTTCCAGCTCCACCACCTACACTCGTGCTAGGGTAATTAAGAGCAGAATGCTGCTGCCCACTACTTTCATAATTTCCGTATACTGTTTGACCTGAACCTGGACGCCTTTCCTGGATGCCTTGAGACCCTAAATAACAATAAAAGGAAACAAAAATAAGTTACAATAAATGGAACTTTATTACTTTAACTCCCGCCCTCACACCCACAGCCGCACTTACAAATTTATGCAGTACCTAAGAGATAAATATTTTAGTTCCTTTTAATCATATAAAAACTGCACTACTTACGTAGAGGGAATGGGAAAGAAATTAGGCTATGTGAATATTTAGCAATAAATTTATTTTTGAAGTTGAAAAACAAAATGTGAAATGTAACCTACAGAAATAAAAAACCAGGCTATAAAGGATATGCCAAGCATTTTTTTAGATAAATTATGAACAAGAGGGTTTTAAGAACATTAAATAAAATTTTAGCTAAAAATCAATTTTCTGCCCCATTCTAAGCCACAAGACAATGCGACTTCCAGCAACAAAAGTACTACATCTTTTATTTTACTTCCAATATGTAATTATAAGAAAATTAACTACCCAAAACTGAAATTCTGCTTAATATAGAATAAACAAGTAAATAATATATAAAAGGTGTCCAAGTAAGCACTCTCTAAATTATGCAAATCAGTACTTCAATTCTAGGCAAATTAAATATGTATGTTATTGCTTCAAAAGATAGTTATCAGTAAATTAATAACCTTTTAATCAACTTTGAAGTTTATAATGTTTAAAACAAAATTTATTTTGCTTTTCTGGACGCAATGCCACTTTTCATAAATGTGTTTGTTAAAAATTATTGCTCATACACAGTTCTTTGTGACAGAGTTCATTGTGGCTTTTATCCACACAGAATGGGTAATATCACTACAATGAGTTTATGAGGTATTTGCAGAAAATATTTCAAAACATCAGAATACACATCAAATTTTTTTTTAACTTAAAATTAAAATGGAATATGTACATTTGCAGTCGAATTTAAAATATATATATATATATATATATGCAGTTGATTCTGTTTTACACTGAATTATGGCAAGAAAAACATGCATACCATTTCAGCTAAATTTTGCCTAAAATAACAAAACTGAAAAAAACAGGTTAGCAAGAGGATTTACACAAAGATCAAATATACAGAGCTACAGACTCAAAGGTCACACAGAGTTTTCTTCAGCTGAGAATACAAAAGTTGGAAAGGCGAAAACGTCTTCATTTGGCGATTTCTTGAAAGCTTTTTATATCCATACAGACTTTCTCTTTTAGTAACAATCCAAATTTTAAACCCCATTCACTGCTAGCCTTTCAATATCTTAAAAATTGCTTCTTGTTTATTTTTCCAGCATTAGAAGGCATGAGGGGTTGCATTTTACTTCATTTAGCCAATAATTTTCTAAGCTTCTTGTGTGTTTTTGCATAAGCAAACGTTTTCCTTCTTATACTTGAATCTGCAGCTGAAAAATATTCTTTTTGCTCTTTGATAGCACCGCACATTCTATTCAATTTATGTCAAATTTTAGTGCTCATATTTTATTTAGCTCATTTGACATGCTCTTTACCAGCAAAACACAAATCTGTTAGATGAACTAAAACTTCTACCCATAATAGCAATAATAACAAAATGTTTTATCTAACTGGGATTGCTTGAAATTAATGGAAAGTTTTTGCTGTTGTCACCATTTACAAACCTATCACAGTAAAGGGAGTCAGACATTTACCATGCATTCAGAAGTTTCAGAAGATAATGAAGTATGATACAATTAACTCAAGAGCATTTTCATAACATGCTGCATAACTTTTATCCATTACTGATCCTCGGAAATACATACTAGTGCACAGATGTATATCATTAAATGTAAGTTGATACTATTTTTTCTTTTATTATCTCGTGATATTACTAAATTTTCCGGTTTACGGTAACACGAAAAGGCAAAAAGTCCTAGATTTTGTTTGTTATACATTTTCTGGGTGGAGACTTAAGACACTTTAAATATAATGCACCCCTGCATAAAAACATTTCCTATCCCTCAGCTACAATACTGCCCTGTGAAAATTACACACAACAAATGCGACACAAAAAGCTTACAGACGCATATGCAAATCAAGAGAAATGCAAAATGTTGTATTTTTATTTTGCAATTCTCTTGTCAATCTAGGCAGAAAAATGTTCCTTAGGGCAGGCATTACAATTTTATAATTTTTACTTCAAACTGGTATCTAAGTTTATTTTTTTTAAAAGACCCGATACATATTCCTAACCCCTTAACTGCCGCGGAAAACGTACAAGATTCATTTCCCAGTGCCACGGGTTTTCACACAGGCACGCATAGTTATGCGATGTATTAGGAGGAAAATAAGTGAAAGTTTTACTTTCTAAAAACTGTTTACTTTCACAAAATAAAGAATAAAACAAAAAATAAATGCACAAAATTTAATGTTTTGAGTAAAAGTATAATAAAAAAATTTAAGTATAATTAAAAAAAGATCCCTTAAACAGAGTTTCAATCAATTCATTTTTAGAACAGTAAAGTGTAATACCAGGTTTCAGTGTTATACCTTGTGAAATCAGTATGCCTAAAAAAAAAAAAAACATATATTTCTTCTGAATTGGTTGAATGCCACGATTTTGTTCTTGATTTTTCGTTTGCAAGGTGTTGGTTCATATACTTGTCTACAAAACGATTAGTTTCAGTAACAATATGAAGCATGAGCAGTTCATCAAAAAATAATTCAAAAAAGATAAAATGGGTTTGAAACATCCGTTATATCTCTCTTTATTCCTGGAACCTACTACAAAAATTAAAAGAAAATGGAGGACACAGAATAAAAAAAAAATGCGTTTTACTCAAACAACACCAGCCAATACCGCGCAGTCATTACTTTCACCGCTTTAGACACACCCCTCTCTCCAATTTCTCCCCACACTTCTCTGAAATAGTATTCTCCTTCGCATGCATTGTCAAGGTCATTGTGGTATTGCATTCCAAATAATTTTATGGGTAGCAGCGCAAAGCAAATGATAGTAGTTTGGAAGGGCATATATATACGCTCGGGGCAGTTAAAGTATCGGCTGAGCAAGGCGTATATATACGTCCGCGGCATTTAAGGGGTTAAACAAAGGCAGCTTCTAGCCTACAGCCTAGACATGAAAAAATTCCAAACAAAAGAATACACGAAATAATGATTTCTGCAAGAATGACTGCCTTTCAAAACTCTTAATGTTGCAATAAACAATCATTCAAGGAGTGTTTCCGCATAGAAATAAATCAGTATACTGAAGTGGACTGAGTGAATACAACGTGCAAATTTTATGAAGCCTAACATACAAGAGGTTGTAACTTAAAGGAGGAATTTATGGGATAACACCATTGTTGCCATTGCACTATGAGCAAATTACACAGGCAAGAAGCGTATTTATGGGATAACACCATTGCTCCTAATGCACTATGAGCAAATTGCACAGACGAGAAGTAGTAATTTAAGGAAAACTTCATTTCTAAACATAAGAGATTAGGGCCAATGGTTTTATAGGATATAAAGCCGCAAGAAATTCAGGTCAGGATTTAGGATTTTATGAAGATATTCCAAAAGATGATGAGAACGTACTTAAATAAATGTAAATTTTTGTTCATAAATAAATGCTATTTAATACACACAAATATGTGAATAAATGGAGATTGTTTTAAATAAATAAAGTGTTGTTCACACATACAAAAAAAGATACCCTTGCTCAGATTGATTACTGCCATACATCTCTTGGAGCGCAAATTAATACAAGATCCAGTCTTCTTTCCAGGGAAATAATGGCAGTAATCAATCCACAAGATTACAAATAGCAACATTGTTGGCTTACCTGGATGATGTGCACGAGGTACAACAGAAGGATAAACTTCCCCAGATCTAGGTAAACTGTAATCCAGTCCTTCAGGCTTAGATTGAGTTGACAATAAGTTCCCTGGTCCCATACCATGACTATATTGGTTCATAGCACTTTCTCCAGAAGAGTTAACAGGACCTTGATCAGGACCAGAGACAGGTACATCTTGTTGATGATGAAGGCTTCTGCAGAAAGGCACATTTTTTAAATGAAAGTTTTTTAATCACATATATGCAATTGATAAAATATATCATTAATATATGAATTCATCAACATTCAGACACATTTGCAAATATAAATAATATATGCAAACATATATTTTTACAACAAATGTCAGAAACAGGGCATAGTTGTGATAAGGAAAGAGAATTCTTATTGCATAGCAAAAAAAAAAAAAAAAAAAAAAAAAAAAAAAAAAAAAAAAAATCAGGAATCGGCTTAATATCCTATTTAAAAACTTAACAGAGCTAATTATTGCAGTAAAAAGCATTGATAGACATTGGCAGGAGATTTAAAATTACAATCATCCCATGACATTGTAATGCATGATTTATATAAACTCAAAGATATGTAAGTGTGCAAAAGACATAACATCCAAACTGAAACTTGCACATTACAAATAAGGGCTCCCTAAACCAATGGTGCTCAAACTTCATGGCAGTGCAAACCCATAAAAATGCAAACAATCCCAATCACAGCTCTATCTTTTGTTTTATACCATTATACCTTTAGCTTTATACCACCAGTTCAAATTTTCCAGGGTTTTTCCCAACTTACGAGCACACTATAAATTTTTGAGACCCCATTCATGACCTATAGTTTCAATATTGCTGCCATAAACAATTCCTCTTCCCCCACCTATACTTCTTGAACTCAAACTAAAGTCATAGATATTGACCCTATATATATATGTACGAAGAAAAAAAAGAATATGTAAAAGATTAAATTAACAACATAAATTTCTCAATTCTAAAAATAGTAAACTTTCTGCACTGCGTCATTTCTAGATTAATCCACGTCAAACGACTCTTATGTAATTCTGATGACGTAAATATAATTACAATTCGAACAGCCAATAGTAATTTTATAGCAATATTAACTATCCAATCAAAATACATTGAGAACCAAAACTAATTCAGTCGGTATTAAGATTTCACCCTGAACATAATGCACTTGCTATGCTTTGGCCTAGCTGGACCGCTGTCTGTCTGCTCCTTCTATTTTACAGCAAATTTATCTAACATGTAAGTTTTTGGAACAGGCACATTTAACGTGCCAACTTATTTGTGGCCACAATATGTTTGCTGAAATAAAAAATGAAGATTTAATCCGCCTTCGCCTCCAATTTTCTATTTATTATGAATTAATACTTCTACAACAATTGCAAGATAAAAAATATAAAAACGAACTTCTAAATTTAATTCACTATAACCTCTTTTATTTTTTATTTCATTTGGGAACTTCATCTCTCTGTCTTAGATATAGCACCATAAGTCTAAACCGCATCATTTAAATTAATCATGCGATCTTATGTAATACTTAACGCAGACGCGTCTTGACCAATCACCAAATTGTAAATCAAAAGTTAAATCTGAAACTTTTGCCTCCTTCCCTTCTTCCTTTGCATTACTGCTGTGATACTTTCTCTCCTTTCGCTTAAGCTTTCATCCTGTTACAATGCTTTGCTGCAATTATCTATGTGCTGCTATGACAGCTTCTACTGGTATAGTATCAAAATTGTGAAGTGTTCTGGAAGTGGGCACGACTGGAGTGCCAAATGAATTGTGGCCACATACAAATTGACAAAATAAATGTGCCTTTCCAAAAAGCTTACATTTTAGATAAATTTGCAGTAAGATAGAAGAAGCAGACAGACAGCAGTCCAGCTAGGCCAAAGCATAGAAAGGAAGTGCATTATGTTCAGGGCGAAATCTTAATACAAACTGAATTAGTTACGGTTCTCAATGCATTTTCATTGGATAGTTAATATTGCTATAAAATTACTATTGGCTGTTCGAGTTTTAGTTCCATTTACGTCCTCAAAATTACATAAGAGTCATATGACATGGATTAACCTAAAAATGATGCAGTGCAGAAAGAGGTTACTATTTTTTAGAACTGAGATGGGAAATTTACACTGCTAATTTAATCTTTTACATATTCTTTATTTTTCTTACATACATTTTAAATACATACATATATATATATGTAGAAAAATATTTGAGAGAAGTGTTCATTTCATTTAGAATAAAATTAATTTAAGGCATGCTAAGCTCAAAATTTAAAATTTGCCTAGCTTTAAATTTTCAATTACGATTCTCCTCAACTACCACGTTTACAGTTTAAGAAATATTTCGAGATGGTTTAAAAAGAAATCAAAAGAAGAACAAATCAGAAAAATGAGAAATAATAGCTATGACCCTGGTAAGTGTTTTAGAATGGTTTAGTGAAAAACATTCTTGAATCCTCATGCACATACTAGAATGAAATCAAGAATACATGACTGGTATGAACAGTTCCAGTTTCTAAAATACTGTGATGTAGAATAAACATACTTAATTCATTCTTAATAGCTTTTAAACCCCAACAGGGGTTAGCATCACAATCTAATCAAAAACTATAACATGCTTAAATTCTTAAAAGATTGGAATCAAATGGAAAGACGACTCACTGATGACCATCAAAAGGTTGGAAGATTTGCATGCAGGTAATCATTTACTTAGCTGAATGCTTGAGCAACCATTTCTTTAACTACATTTAATAGAAGTCAAAAGCTGTCAGTAACAATATAAAAAAAGTAAGTTAGGCTGCAAAATCCTATTAATTTTTCAGTACTTTGCAATTCAAACATGCCACACAAAATATGACTAAGCAAACAGTAATAAATATTTACTAAGCAAACAGTAAATTCAGACGACGTTTTCATAATTTATTACACAAGCAAACCTTCAATTTATGCGAAAGTCTGAGGTAAGAGAAATGACCCAAAATAAATAATTACATTAACAGTTTAAAAAGATCTTCAGCAGTTTCAAATTGTTTTTATATGGGACTGATTTTTTAAAATCTTCAGGGACTGCAGAAACAGCAAAATTTAACATTTATTATTTAATGATTTTCTTACTTGAACTGTAAGAATCATTCAGTTGGGTAAAAGTCCCTTCTTTTTATAATCAATAACTAAACGCTTGCTCAAAAGCATTTGTCAAGAATGGAACTGATTGATTTCATTAGTCACTTAACACTAGCATTACGGAAGGTATCATTTTGACACCTAGCGAACTTTTATCTCTAGCAGCTTATCTCTGGAATTTTTTTCGCAAATTTCTTAATCTTTTCTCGACCTTTTCATAAATCATCGTGATTTACGAAATAGTAAAGAGTTCAAGAAAATCATATTTTTATTTTAGCCCTAACAAATGATAATACCTAGAATTACGGCAGGTGTCATTTTGACCCCTTTGAGAGAAAAGAAATGTGAATACATTTCATTGTATTATCTGAACACTGTTACTTCTGTAAACTATTTTTACTTGCACCTGCTAAACAAAATACAAAGGAAAAGAATATGGTGGGTCTGTGTAGTTTCACATCTGCCAGTCACATGATTTGAAATATGTGCAATACTTTCCTTTGCGGAATGAAATCGGAGAAAAAGAGATTATTTCGAGCTGAACGTTTTGTAGATTTTTCATAGATATTTTGTTTATTATTCATAGCAAGTTTTAGTGAAAAATTGTATTATATTTACATGAATTCATTATAGTGATGTACTAATGGCACGTAGAAAAGGACTAACGCATGAAGAAATCTTGAAACTGATGCAAGAACTATCCGATGCCGATTCCGGTTCTGAAATCGAAAATAATTCTACAGATAAAGATGGAGATGAAACATCTTGTGATTCTGAATTTATTATAGAGAGTAATCAGGCAATATCGAACTCTAGCTAAGGTGAAAGAACAAATGGATTTGTTTCTACGAGTTCAAAGTCTGCCGTACCTAAGAATGGCAAAGCGGGAACAAGTAAGCGCTCAAAAGGGGAATATGAAATTCAATGTAATTCAGCCTAACACTTGTAAAGAAATTGCTAGTGATGGAACTGTATGGAAAGTAGAAAATACTTCAAATACTTCTGGTCGTTGCACAATATCGACCCTTGCAAAATATCTTGCGAGAAAATGCAGGACCGACATCCTATGCTAAACGTCACATTTGTTCTGGTAAAGCTCTTAGTGCCTGGAAGTAAATAATAAATGAAAAAAATTTTACGCATCATAAAGGAGTGTACTGATGCTGAAGCCAAGCGTAAACTTCATAATTCTTTCACTATTTTTATTAGCAGAACTGGAAGCATTCATAGCGTTGTTGTACGTAAGGGGGGCATTAGCCGTCAAGGGCTTACCAATTTCTAGTTTGTGGTTCAAGACTTGGGGACCAAAGGTTTTTCATAAAACTATGAAAAAAGAGAAATTCCCTCCAATTAAAAAAATGTAAGAAGCGAACTTTCTTCTTCAGTTGTGATGAAACAGGATTACATAACACTTACATCATATCAAGGAAAAAAAGTGTAATTTTGTTAAGTACACTCCATTCATCAGTTGAATTTGATCTAATGAAAAGAAGGTACCTGATGTAATACAGTTTTACAATTCTACAGAATTCAGGGTAGATGTTTTGGATCAAATGGAAAGAAAATACTCCGTGAAAGCACCATCACACCGTTGGCCAGTACATGCATTCTACAATATTTTAGACTTAGCAGGCACAAATGCGTGGATTCTGTATACGGAAGTTACAAAAGAAAATATCAGCAGAAGGGATTTTCTATTGCGCTTGGCAAAACTAATAGAAGAATATATATCTAGTAAAAACAAATTTGTTCTCTCTTCAAGTGGCTTTGTGAATGGACAACATTCAATAGAATCAAAAAAAGGGGGCAAGAAATGTCAAGTAAGGAAATACAAAGGTTACAAAACTTCTAATATTTGCGACAAGTGTTATAAATATGTATGCGGATATTGTACACAAAAAATCAGAAAGATAAGCGTGTGTGCTAATTGCTGCGCTTACTAATATATTATCTGTGAATAAAATATTTCTATATATTTCTATGTACTCTTTATAGCAAAATGTTTGTTTTAAAGTACTTTAATATTTGGATTAAAAACCACTCTTTTGGAAAAATTTTCGTAAATGTTTATACATTTTATTTTCTGTGTTTCTGAAATGTAAGCTATCAAAAAAAAAAAAAAAAAAAAAAAAAAAAAAAAAAAAAAAAAAAAAAAAAAATTACATTTTCCGATGGAAATATTTAAATGCTTGTTCATTATTTGACTACATACCTGCAAAGTCTCTATATTCTTTAAAATAAACTGTAGTTGTCATAATTTGCGTTATTTTAATTTCTTTTTCACAAATATATCATATAGAGAAATATGCAGATATCTTATCAAGGGGTCAAAATGACACCCGCCATAATTCTAGGTATGTGAAGACCATGGTAATTCTAGTGTTAACTACCTTAAAAATAAGAAGATTGCCCAGCAAATACCATAGTGAGTAGACTAATACCCCACCTATGAGAAGGGGAAAAGGCAAGCTGGTGCACCCACACTAGTGGTAAAGGAGTCAAACAGATCCACTGAATTAGAAAAAAGTTTTTAAACGTACTGAAGAAAAACCTAGAACTGTAACACAAGTCAGGCTCAAAACAGTACACATCTTTTAAAACATTCAGTTTAAAACAACTTTAGTTTTATGCATGTCTGAACTAAAAGAAATAAACATGAACTACACAATACACCTTTATAATACACAAATATGAACTGTACAAAAGTAACACAAGAACTGGCTCAAGGAAAAAATGAGACAATGAATTAAATGCTTTCACCATAATATTATTGAGAAAATTGAAATATTTCATCACTCCACTGTTTCAAACTAGTATTAAAGCCTTTGACTTCAATAACTGTTTTGACAATATCCCATGATATAAAGATACTTTATATTCACCATCAAGGCACATACAGATGAAAGAACATTTATTTTAATGTAATAAACATGCTTACTTGGCAGACGTATTGGTACAAACAATATATTCCACATCATTAGTATATGGATTAAGAAATGCAAAGCTGCTGGTCCTTAACCAAATCCATTCACGATTCTTGGCACGGAATCGATACATAACAGACATTACTTGACCTTTCAACTTCAATACTGAAATAAAATTCATTCAGTAAGTTATTATCAGAAATTAAAATTATTCTAAGTGATAATTTTGCTGTTTAAAAATTCACAACCCCCTTCAAAGCCTTCTTGCATCAAAACTATCGTAAAATTGAACATTTTATATAATAACAATTTTAAGAACGCAAACTACATTTGAAAACGCACAACTGCATTTCTATACAGTGTGAACGAAAAGATGGTGACAGCCATATCTTTGCAATTCCGTTATACCCCTTGCTATGCAACTATAATTACAGAACAAAAAGGCTGATCAATGTAACTTAATCACAATTCTGAATCACAATTAAGAAATTTTCATATTAAAGTGATCAACTTAATGTGCACTACTTAAAATAAGTAAAATCAGCTGTTAATTCAAAAGGCAAATTATAAGAAAAAGAAAAGGAAAAACAATTAAAAGAAAGTTTCCAACATAAAACTTCAAATCACCTATCTTAAACAGTTAACTGGCAGTCCACGACTTAAAAGCTACTATTAATTCTAGCTGCAATAAACAATAATAAAGAAGAAAAACTAAACTGAACCAAAATCAATCAATAATTAAAATTTATACAAAACTGAAAATGTAACTACATCACTGAAACTTGAATGAACTATTCCATGTAACAACAAAAAATTTATGAACTTTGATTAATAGCAATATATGTTCAAATGCTAATATAAGCACAGAAGAAAATAGATTATAAGTTTTCTTTACTGTAATTTCTAAAATAAAATTCAAAAGCATAAATACGTTTTCTCCAGACATGAAGTTCTTACATATTTTTTATAGTAAAATAGCCTAATTCCATAACTACAAAACCAACTGCTATGAAATTTAACCAACTGCTATGAAATTTTACCAACTGCTATGAAATTTAACCAACTGCTATGAAATTTTACCAACTGCTATGAAATTTTAACAGTAAATTTCAAAAACATGTACATAAAATTTCATTAAAAAAATTTTACTTTTACATGGAAAACTTGAAAATTTCTATTGATTTTCTATTCTTTTGCAATCTGACTATCAAGATAACCTTCTCTTCAAATAGTCTGTGGAAAGTCACATCATACACAGTAAATAAATACTTATATTTTGCTATCAGAAGCTTGTACTGTACTCATTATAGAAGTCATGCATGAAGTTATATCATCTACAAAGCAAAGATTTGTAGCATTAGAAATGAAGTTAAAGCATCTTTCAGCTATTTAGGTATGATGTTGCATTTTGACTGGGGATGGATGCAAGGAAAATTGTATTTCTTTGGTTAGAAAGATTTCCCTTTCACACTCTGTTCCTTTGTCACTCAATTGTTTTCTTTTAGTAACAGACAATTCAAACGATAAAAAACGATGAGAGTGTCATTCTGTAATGTACAAAAAGTAACATTCTCTTAATCTTTCCATGAATGTCAGAAGCACTGTAACAAGAGTATGTATTCCAATGGATGGTATTTCAAAGAGAACTCCAGTAGTAATTTCTTGCAAGCAGATTCCGTGAATTTTTTTTTTTTTTTTTTTTTAAACTACATTATGCTAGGATGTGAATAAGAGCAAGGAAAAATTTCAGGAGATTTAATGGAGTTTTCAGTTGAAATAGTTTGAAGAGTTATGTGTTGGTTGGCACCAAAATCAATCCATAAGCATTATCAATGTACAAAGCAATTTACTTACTTTTTGTTGATTACTAAATCCTTCATTTAAAAGGACAACTGGAATTGTATTTATGTTATACGTTTCACGTAAAAGATATTATTTTACAAAGAACTAGTCCTAATAGAAACAAAACCATAAATTTACAAATTTATTACTGATAATATAAAATCAGAAAGTTCCTTTCATTTGTCATTTTTTTGTTTTGTTTGTTTGTTTGTTTCTTTTCAGGTTTTTAACTATGCAACTCATTGCTTTAAGTTTACAATCTTAGTAAATCATTCCAATTAAGAAGTTCTTAAACATCTAGCCCTTAAAAGTCTTCTGAACAGGTGTCTGCTATAATATACCTTCCAAACATGAATACTATCATTATATTAAAAAAGAAACATTGCTAAAAATTCCAAGACAAAGTGCATGCATGAAACTGAAATCTACATAGCAGTACATACAGCCAGAGCCAGGATAAAGGTCTATTGAGGCAAGTCAGATACTTGCCTCAATTGATCAACTAAAAGGAGCCCCATGTCATCTAAGAAAACTAGAAATTTATTTCAAAAAGGCAACTATAATTGTCAATATTTAACTGAAATGCATAAAAAAGCAACATCTCAGAAGATATATAAATTAATTAGCTTGTTGTGGTAAAGCACATTAGTGGTATCTGCTTTAAGGGTGAGATGCCTTCGTGGAGGACATGCTGAGGGAAATAGCTCATATACACATTAAACAATGGGAAAACCATGAAAACACCCATGCAGCCCATTCGCCTGGAATCGAACCAGGTCAGAACTACCAGTGTTTAGCCATTTTACTGTTCAACCACTGGTGGGCATAAATTCATATTTTTGAACTGCACTACAACCTATAACAGGCCAAGGTCATTTCAACATGCTTCCTCCATTGGATTCGATTACTCACTATGATCCACTAACAAATGATTTTTAAAGTCTTGAGATCTGCCTCCACACAGTCTTGTACATCCTTTGCAAGGTTTTAAATTAATAAGACTTTATTAACACTATTTCTACTGATTCAAAATTACTAACTTCTTGATATTTGTTTCTATTCTCTTATGTTATATAGCTTTGTATGACAAATTAGTGAAATGGAAATATATTGAACTATTTATAACATAACTCTGTTTTAAAATACATTAATTAGATATTCTGAATTCCTGATAATCCAGAAAATCTTAAGTAGAGAAAAGCTTCTATTTATCAGAGTGCTTTTAAATGATATGGAAATATTATATATACCAGTCAAACTGTGGTTCTCCATCCCCTCAATTATGTCTCACGAGCTTACAGTTCCTGTACCTATTAAATGTAATTTTCTAGTCTCATTTTTTTTTAAGAATAGCTGCATCTTGAAATAGAAATTTTGCAATGACAAACTCTTTATCAATTAGTAATTCTTAAATTACTTTAAGGTAATAATTGAATCCATTGCAACTATCCAATGTGCACTAATTATAAGAGCAGTGAACAAGATAGAAAAAATTCGGTTTCTGAAAAATATAGCATATTGATCATGTTTTTTTTAGCAGCTCACAGCCATCGGGGCACCACAAAAAATGTGAAGATCATTTAAAAAATAATACATTGTCCTCTCAGATTTTTTTTATCTTCAAACAAGAGCCTTTTTTAAGTTAGAGATACGAGTATATTAGGCTTTTTTAAGACTCATGCAGATTTTAGGATAGATAAGATAAAACATTCATATTTGGTTACAACATTTCAAGGCCAAGCAAGGCAGGTGATTTTTATCCATTTTTTGCAAACTTTTTAAGACCAGTTGCCATAGTATGCTGCACTCACACTTCTTCCAGCTGGAACTATGTCCGTCTTAAGAGATTTCTTGGTAGTCCTAGGTAGGGATCACCATTTAATTCATCTATGATTGAACTTGCCAAATTTTTGGGGACCATGAAAAAGATGGACTTCACTGGACAGACTTCAACATCATAATTAATTCTTGTCCAAAATTTGATGAAATCATGCTTTGCCTGATTATTCAAGATAGAAATCTCAGATTTATCATCAAATCTTCATTTTAATAAAATTGTCAACGGCAGTAAGGAACCCACAGGGCACAAGCATTTTCTCAACAAAGCTTTTCTTAAAATGCAGTATGTTGGTGATACTGTTGTAGCTTGAGAATCTTCACATGTTGTTTGACAACTTCTCTCTTTCTAGCTTGTTACAATATTTCCTTCTTACGTTCATGGTCTTCCTGTGGCTTTAGGTTACATTTAATATCCAACATGTTCTTCATGAAAGCGAGTAGCTCAACAGAAGACATTAACTATAATTTACTGCCTGATTCTTATAAACTTCATGGAATGGAATGCAAAATTTCATTGGAACTATGACATATTAGCACATAAAACTTTCAATTTTGAAATATGATGCTTGGTTTTCTACAGTTATAACAGACACAAACTGTGTTTCAATCACTTAATGCTGTACTCTAAAGACCTCAAACCAGACTCGTGCTTTTGTTTCATACTCTCAGCTGGAATTTACAAATACATATAACTTGCCCTGTTCATTAGGAGTTACTGGGAATCAATAAGATTTCTTATAGGGTATGTATAAGCATATCTATTAAAACTGATTAAAATATTTGCAGCATCACCTTCAGATCTGAAACCCAGCCAGTCCAAAATCAAAGAGACTTATACCAAATAATATGGCATAATTAAATAAGAGAAGACTGTGCATATATGGGAAGAAATAATAGTCAATCTGCATAAATAGAAAAGTTCTTCATTCTTCGAGTAATATGTAACATTCATTATATTTAATTATATTTGACATTCTTTTTCCTATTCAGTACACTAAAATTTTTAATAGGATCATTAGTTTCCTCATTTTTTCATGCACTCTAAAATGGATTTCAGAATAATATGTATTAGAAACATTGCATTCGATCTACAACATGGGCAATATTTTATATTAAATCTTCTAATGTATTAGAAAATGTCCACCAGAATTAGCTGAATTGAGAGCGATATGAAACATACCTTCTGTAAAAATGTTTGCAGGAATATTAGCGTGAATCTTGCTTTGCATGACTGATTATTCCATCTATTCTATCAATGTTATACTAACCTCATCACTTGTCCTAATTGGTGTTTTTGTGAAAAAGTCTATATTGTGGAGGAGGATTTTTTTCTGACTGCATACCACAAGTTACAGTGTTACTAGCTTTTTCAATAACTTTTATATAAATCTGCAAGTACTGCCATTGCAATAAGGTATCTCAAGTCCTGCTTAGCAATATTAAAAATATGTACATTTTTTAAGTTCTATTGGAAAAAAACTAAA